CCCCCTCCCCTCGCGACGACTATGTGGAACGGCCCTACAATGTACAGCAATAGAATCAGGTGCGAGCCAACGTTAATGGTTGCACCTGACACTATCCTCCGGTCGCATTTCGGCCGCGACGCGTTGTTTGTCGTGCCCGATCCTTCTTCGCAGGGGATGGACGGCATGACAATAGGACAACAGGCTGCGGCCGTGTATCCCAAGCCGGGTCATCCCCGAGGAAACCCGCCATGTAAACGAATCGCGGCCGGTGGTTAGGCACTGCTCGTTACTCTACGATGCCATCAAAGGTCGTTGGCAGGCAAACAGAGATCAATGATGCGCACTGCCGCACGAGGATCGTTCTTTTCGCGAACAAATATTGCGCAAAACAAGCACCCCCTACATAGACTCTGTCGATGATGTACTAACGACCCCGTTCCAATACAACTAGATACTGAACTAAATGTATTCTGACCGACTTATGCAACCTAGAACCGAATGATCGATTGACTACACATTAAAGCCTTTGGAGAGTCCGAGGTGGATTCGTGGTGCCAAGGCCCCTTTCCCAACAAAAATATAGCGAGGAACTCACGGTGAATCTGACGCCGTCCCGTTTTTCATCCCTCTCCGTGTTTGTGTACCAAACCTACACTAAACTAGTCACAACCACAACAACAAGGCCAAGCGAATCTCCGGCCGGTGTCTCACATGACAGTCTATGTGTTACAATCCTTTGCGCTATGCTCTGCCAAAATATCTATTTTCAAGAGCAAGACAGGCTAGCTACTCTTCCCGTACCGTGCGGCGCCACTTAGCAAACGCATTGATTTCGGGCGCTTCAATTTACAATGCAAGTTGGAGGTTTAGGGTCCTACATGCTGCCGATGATATGGCAGCACTAGGTCCTGATCAATCGCCTGCGTTAAACCCTTTGCGCATTGCCAGGAGCGCTTGTACAGACTGGCCCACCTTGTTGACGGAAACGTTAGGGGCAGGGAGAGCGGAGATGGCACCAACGCCGACGGGGTTAGTGGAGAACATAACAACAACGGGAGCAAAACTTACTCAATGGGCGGGTGTGTGTTGATACACAATTCAAGCCCTGTAGGTCGTATCTTGACAGGAAGGTGGGGGTCCCTGACCAGCGGGGCAGGTGCTCTTGGATGCCTGCGAACAATTGACCAACAGGCCCTGATCTCTTTGAGAACTGAACGCAACGTATCCTAGGTTGACCCAATCGTGGTCTCGGTTAGGCGGGACAAATGGCGCTACGCTCTACGTTGGGGGCGAGAGGATTGAGCAGGGGCGAAGAATGTCGAGCACGAGCGCCACTACAACTTTTGATCGCTTCTTCTGGGCACAAGGCATCCTTGCACACGCCTCGCGAGCCACGCCGGTTGGTATGGTGTAGACTATTTTTTGCGGAGAGGGCATCTAGGGCAGCCTCATAAACTTGTCAAGTGCATGGTCACGGTCTAGGGCCGCGCGTTCGAAATAGGACGGAGCTGGTCGTACTGTGGGATTGGTGTCGATGTGATGTCAATCCCGCTTGTATATCGATCACCTCTGGCGGCATGCTGTCGCCACCGTTGGCATCCCGACGTGCCTGCTGCTGTTTTTGGACACTCCTCTGTTGTTGTTGTTGTTGTTGTTGTTGTTGTTGTTGTTGTTTCAGCAGCACCAGCGTCGCTATCTGCTCCGCCTGGTGCTGTTGCTCCTGCTTCTGCTTCTGCTGCTGCTGCTGCTGCTGCTGCTGCTGCTGCTTCTGCTGCTTCTGCTGCTGCTGCTGCCTTTCTTGCTTCGACCTCTGATTTTCTCGATGCATTCCCTGCTCCTCCTGTTGTAGCCGGGCTGATTGAAGCTTCCCGAGGAACCTTCCCGCCGCTGCGAAATGCTCCCTCCCGTAGCCCCGACCCCCGCCGCCGCCTCCGCCCCCGTCATTGCGCACACAAGATACAGCGCTGCCGTTGACGCTCCTACCCTCGTCCACGGCCCCTCCCCCACCCCCGCTGTCGCTGCTTCCGGAGCACTCAACCAATGTGCCGGACTCGTTGGGGTTGCTCTCGCCTTCCGTCCCCACGTCCACTTCGTGGCTGTCGGTATCGATCCTCATGCCGTCGAAGGGCTGGTTCAGTTCTCTGCTGAATGACAGACCGCGGGCATGCCGGCGTGTGGCCGGCGGCATAAGCCTCCCGGTTACGCCGGCTCTGTAGTTGGTGAAGACCGGAGACGTAGGCCGGGCGAACGCGTAGCCGCCACCGACACCACCTGCCGCGCCGTCGGAGGCCGCTCTGTTGTGGTTGGGGTAGCCGTGATGTTGGTAGTAGTGTGTGCGAGGGAGCTGGGCCGACGTTGGAGGAGGGCCGTTGATGTCGACTCCGTGGCCGTTTGCGGGGAAGGGCCCGGCGGGGGGCAGCAGATTGGCGGCGACACCGTCGCAACCTCCGGCGCTGCGGTTGACGCCCGAGGGTAGCACAGATAGCTGGGGACCAAAATTCCATGATGCTTGCCCGGGGTACACGTTCGGCTGCCTTCCTCCGTTGTCCTCGACTGTCGCTGCCGGAACGGCGGCGGCTGCGTGGTGGCTGCCGTTGCCCTCTTGTTGCCGGCGCTGCAGCGCGAAGTTGGGGCGCAGTTGCTCCTGCTGCTGCCGCTCCTGATGGCGCTGCCCATGCCGAGCCTGCTGCTCCTGGTGTTCCCGCTGTTGCTCCTCTTTCACAGCCGAGGGCGGGGGTCTGTTCTGGGGTTCGGCGTGTTGCGGATGCTCTCGTGCACTGTGAGAGGCCTGATGCTGAAGGTCCACGGCCTGGCCGTTCGGCACGACGACGTCCAGAGGCCGCACCTGCTTGTCCCATGCACGATAAAGCGTTCGGGGCGGCGGGTTGGGGAAGGGGGCGAAGCCAAGAGACCATCGTGAGGGGCACAAAGACACCGTTCTCGCGAGGGGCGTGGGAAAATATTGAGATCAAGGCGTGTCGGGGTTTCCTAACAAGTAGGCTTTTCGTGTTGGTTCGGTGCGTTGTCCTCTAAGGTATGTCTCTCCAAGAACACAAGTAAACCCGATCGATCCTAACTGTGTTTCTACAAGCAACTTGACTTGGACGGAAAATGCGAAGGCAACCTTCAGGGTCACTCGGAGTTTGGAACAAGGGTTGCTGCAAGGATTACGCTATGATAGTTTGGCTGAGGAAACGGCCTGCAAGCCTTCTTACAAGGAGTGCTACGTCTGCTCAGTCGACACACATCCACGGCGCGTAGCCCACCTTGGGTCCGGGCTTTTGCTTTAGGCTGAACTCGCACTGGAGGCCTTTTCGAGTGCACATCGAGCAAGGCATGGTCCCGCTGCACTTCACCTTTCGTGTAACGGGACAAAACCACAAGAAAAGGAAAAGATTGGCAAGATATGAGAACGGGGGACATGCCTGCCTTGCTTTGATGTTCCCTTTTTGTCTGATTGTTTCTGATTAATTTCGATGCATTTCTGGCAAAGGCGAACAACAAGCCGCTAGTCATTGTGTAGTATTTTACGCTCAATACTCAATCGCCGACGTACCCCGCATGGGTGAATTGTTTCTGCTCGGGAGGAAGAACTGTCGTGCGTCGCTACTCACAAAAGAACGTGACGCTTTCTGTGTACGATTAAGGTAGCGTCGACGGAGATGGAATCGGTTTGGTAGTTGTGGATCGGTGACGACATCTCGGCATCAGGAAAATGCCATCAGTGCTGCACCCACAAGTGCATGGAGTACATTATCGACGCCCCCCCGCATGTCAAAGATCACTGCGAATAAGCACATCTGACTGTTAGAAAAATCCACGCGCTCGATATTGCAGAAAATGCGTCGACGTACGCGGTAGTGTAATAGTACCTTCTTCTTCACGCAGAAGTCACAGTTGCGGCGCAGATCGTCTGAGCCACTGTGCAGGCCGCCCGCTTGCGTGTCCGCATCACTGTCGTCCCCACCTTTCACGGTCTGCACGATATAGAGGTCAAGAGAGGCGGCGCGCGATTCCGGGGCGTTGGTGGGCGGAAAACAGACAGCAGTGTTGCGATTAAACCGAAATGAGGACTGCTGCTTTGCCAGCGCAACAATGTACGGGAATTCCTGGTGCCCTCGGCTACCTGCTGCTGGTGGCGACGTTGTTGCTGTTTCTGTTGATGTTGCTGCTGCTTCTGCTGCTGCTGCTGCTGCTGCTGCTGCTGCTGGGAAATTTTGGAGACACCGAGCTGCTGCTCGGACCAGCGAGTTTGCCTAGCAGGCGTGCTCGCTCTTTTGAGGCTTTGCTTGGCAACTTCACGGCCGTCGCCGATGGTACCTGATTACCGTTGGATGCACACGGTGGACCAGGAGGAGGGTTGTCGTATTTTCGGCCAATATTGGCGAATGAAACGCGAAACGTGTTCTAAGATTCGAGGGAAGTGCGGCGCTTCATGATCATCTCGGCGAGAAACCGCAAATGACCAGGCTGATTTCAGCAACGAAAGCAATGACTAGGGTACCTTGGGCACCAAGCCTAGCACCTCCTCGTCCTCTTCCTCCGCTTCGATCCCCCCCCTCCTGACCCCCGTCACTGCCGTTGTCGCTGCCTCTGGTACTACTGGTGGTTGAGCTTGCCGCGGCGGAAACAGCTAGGGAACGGGACGAGCCCAGCGGAAAGTGAAAGCTCTTGACTTTCTTGAGCGGTGACACCAGTGCTAGCTCTTCGAATACAGAATCGTGATTGGTCGCTCTGTCAGCGGCGGAGAAGAGTGAGGGGCAACGGGAAAAGGGATGCGGTATTCGACGTGACCATGAGATACTCGGGAACAACAACGCTATTACTGAACAACGTTTTTTTCTCGCGTACTCTGGCTTTGCCCCGCTTTACCCCGAGCTAACATGGCTGAGACAAAACCCTACTACTGGATAGCAGCAATAGGATCCATCTTGAGGTTGGCATTGCTCACCCGGAGCGGGATAAGTGGAAAGAGCCCGGCCTCGGGAGCTCACTCACGGCCACCGCCGGCGAAGAGCCGCGACCTGTCGAAGTCGACGTGTCCCTCGTCATCGGGACGGCGGTGGTCGATGCCCCTAGCGCCCCCTTCCTCGCCCCCCTGCCCGCGGCAATCCCCGCCCCGACGCTAGCCGCCACCATCTCGGTGAAGGCGCGGGCCCCCGTCGACTGGTTGGGCGTCATGACGCTCGACAGCATGGACAACAGGTCCGTTGGGTTGGGCGTGCTCGCATCGCCGCCCCGCCCCCCCCCGCCCCCGCCCCCGCCGTTCGCGACGGCCGCAGCTACCGCGGCCGCGGTAGCGACGGCGTTCCTGAGGACGTCGTCGTGCACCGAGTAGCTCTCTGCGGCGGGAACCATTCCAGGGGAGGCGGAGCTGTTGTAGTCCTGCCGTGCGCCGTCTCCACCGCTTTCGTGGCCGTGGGGAAAGGGGGGAGATGTGGAAAAGAGACCGCTGTTGATGGGGCGGAATGCTAGGTTGTGGCCGTAGCTCCTTGGCACTCCTTCCCAGAGGTGATTATGGTACGAGCTTGGTTCTGGTGGTCCCTGGTGTTGTTGTTGTTGTTGTTGTTGTTGTTGTTGTTGTTGTTGTTGTTGTTGTTGTTGTTGTTGTTGTTGTTGTTGTTGTTGTTGTTGTTGTTGTTGTTGTTGTTGTTGTTGTTGTTGTTGTTGTTGTTGTTGTTGCTGCTGCTGCTGCTGCTGTTGCTGTTGTTGCCGCTGCTGCTGCTGCTGCTGCTGCTGTTGTTGTTGTTGTTGTTGTTGTTGTTGTTGTTGTTGTTGTTGTTGTTGGTGGTGGTGTTGGTGCTGTTGTTGCTGTTGTTGCTGGTGCTGCTGGTGCTGCTGGTGCTGCTGCTGGTGAACGTGGTAGTCGTCGTGCACTGCGATCAAGATAGGTTCGGTGTGTTGGGGAGGTATTCACGAGACAGACTTTCGGTAAGCTTGCAGTCTCGGAGATAAAATGACGTGGACGTACGGGAAAAGGGGTCAGAACGACGCGGTGTTTTGGACACGAGATCGACGACAACAGACGCGTGGTCCGCAGACCCCCTAGAGACGACAGTTGCAACCTCCTAGGCAGCGAAACAGGTGGAACAATTGCAATTGCAATGACACCGAACCCACAACAGCACGAAAGCGGGAGGCGGAGTAAGGCATGAAGGTGACGTTCAAGCTTGTTTCAATCACGGTGACATGGAGAGGAAAGAAAACGACCAATCGGAGTTAGGAATGCCGAGCACGCCTCGCCACGGTGCATGCTATTCGTACAAGACATTTCTGTCCTCGCGGTTGGCCAAACATACGAGGGTCTGTCGATCTGCCAAGCTGACATTGATATACCGTCTTTCATTTGCCCTAACCTCTGGGATCCCACGAGAACCGCGCTGAATCGCGAGACGGAGCGAGGAGACGGTCATCGGCTGGGCCCGGGACGTTCTTGTGGCTGATGGCGCTGTTGTCCGTGGCTCCAGCCATGGATGAGCAACGGGATGACTTGCCGCCACTCGGCCTCATCTGCTGTTGAACCGGCCCGCCGAAGGACGAGGAAGTCGAATGCGCAGTGATACAACACCGACAAAACGGACATGCAGTAGCTGTGTGAGAGAGGCTTCACAGCAAGGGTGTAAAGATGGAGTGAAGAGAGCAAGCCGTTCTGGCGACAGACACCGACTTCCTGTGATGGACTATTGCAGCGCTAGTGTTGGGATTGTCACAGCACGCCCCCCGTCCTTACACTGTACTCTTCCCGTCGAGTAGGGGCCACTGATGCTTCTGAAAGTAGTGCGCGGGGAATTCTTGGCGAAGCACTACACCCTCTTTATGTCACACAGCATACTTGTCAGAGGCAGACGCACCTGTAGCACGCACCCGCAAAGAACACAAAATCTAGATGGGGCTGAAGGTGGCATCACGGAAGATGGTTGACACCCCAGGGTTTACAAAATCACGCAGTCCTACAGTCTTCAAATATAGACTACAGCACGCGCCATCACGTCAGAACTTAGCAGTTAAGAACTCGATCCTCAAAAACTATATTTTTGGAAGAAGTAGACCTTGGCCGTGAGAACAGGTGCTCAGTCAAGAATCCTACACCCAAACCTATATCGTCGCCGTGGGAGTACTCCATTAACAATATAAGGAACGAGTCTCGGCCAAACTTAGATGTTCATGAGTGATGGCGCAATCTGTACTGTAGGCAATGACCAAGATGGGTTTGTTTTGTCCAGATCCATGTGCATCGTTGTAGTCCCCACAATCCAAACCAAAAATAAGTAACGCCGGGCGGAGGAGCTGAAATAATTGTGGAAAGTGGTCTGTCAGACTGAAACCCTTCTAGCGAAAGCCTCTACGACTCGCTCCCAAGCAGGTTCAGAAGAACTCCATGTAGGCAGTCAGCGCAGGACTTAAACCAACTGCACACAGAAAACACGGCACGCCGTGTATGAAGAGCTCACCCGCGCGCTCATTCTTAACTCGCATGCATGCGGAAAGATCAATTTACCGACAAATAGAGCCGAGGGAAGTTTGCGGGGGTTAGTAACACACAGATCACCTCGGGGTAGCTTGGGTCGCCGTGCACGTGCTCAGTACCGCTAATAGCGCTGTCATCAGCTGCTAGATGACGATGCCCAAGGTGGATCCCCTCACGAACCTCCATCGTGCAAACCTTGGGCTGCCCGAATGCAGTAGCTGCCACCTTGTCGCGAAAACGTCAGTATCAGCGCTGCCGCGCTGGCACCTTCTTTTCTTCGTAAAGTGAGCAAAACAGCCACGCCTCGTCGTCAGCACGTTGAACTCTTCTCTCGGTGATGCCCGGATGACAACAATGCTCACGTTCTCTCTTACTCGGGAGGAAACAATGGATGACCCGAAACTATAGATGGAAAATGAACCAGAGCCCTGGCAGAGCACTATCCCTCTTCTCTATTGGGCCAGTGTCGGCATGCGCGGTTCTGTTCGTCTCAGCAACAAGACAGACAACCCTCTTCATCCGTCTCACCCGCGGAAGGCGAAAAGCAGCGGCACTCTTGGTTGGTACCAGGATCTGCCTGTTACTCTCTTTCTCGGCGTGTTGCGCTTCGGCCTGGATAGATCACGTGGCTCGGCACAAGTGTTCTCTCGCGTGATTCTATGGGAAGATTTTGCTTGTCGTATCACGGAATCTATTCGGGTGAAATAATGAAACGGTTTTTTGGACCGTTCGAGGTTCCGCCGCATCATCTGTCCATCCATCCAGCACTGGTTTCCCTCCATTCACTGAAAAGACTCCACCACATCCCGTTCGACTGTGGGTATATCTCGAATGGGTAGTCTTTCTGTGTGTGTTTTTATTATTCCTTAATCCAGCACTGGATTGGACTCATAAGATTGGATGGTGACTTGCGAGTCCCCAACACGCTGAAACTTGCACCCAACCCTCTCTTGTACGCTCGCGTCCCGTTCCTCGCCAACACACACAAGCACTCGCTTTTTTTTGTGCCATCCAATAGCCTTCGACGAGGCACCTCTCTCATACCATGGTCCTTATATGCAGCAAGCACAGCAGCACTGATGATGCGCACGGAGTGGAATCGTTTGGCAGGCATCCTGTACTGCTGTGGTTGGTCCTGATGAGATTGTTGGGCGTACACCCACATGCTCCGCATACAAGTACGGAAACCCTCGTCACCTGCATGTTCTTCACGTGCTACCCATCATCATCTGTTAGATGAGGCACCCTCTCATAGTGTAAGAAGTTCTCCTTTCGCTTCCAGGAGCCGCATGATGGGATATCTGCCCTCCCTGTGGTCGGTCGTGATCTTGTTGCCAATTCATGTTCTGCGCATACATACATAGTCTATACAGCAGTACATGTAGTACAATTGTTGCCCATGATGTGTAGTTGTAGGTTAGATGTAAAGTCTAGCATCCTGGAAGCACATAGGAGCTGTTAAGAATATGTACAAGGTTCCGGGTATATTTGTGGTTTATCTTCTCGGGGAAAATGAGTCACGCATGCACGCGGTAGGGGGTCTCACCATTTTTTTTTTCGGGGTTGGGTTTAGACTATGATAATGTGCTGAATAAATACCTGCTAACGTCATTGGTAAAGGTTCCCAACCACCGCAAGTAAGCATATCATGCACAACGAAGGCACCCCGGCCAGCCACTTTCACATCTGGGGCCGGTTAGAAAAACCAGCCAGGTGAATTTCTCCTATGAGAAAACGGGGCGGAAGTTGTTTGGTTCTTCGAATTCAAGACCCTGATGTCCATCCAGTACCTCCTGTAGGCTACTTTGTTCCATTTTCTCCTTTCTTATCTATTACCAACAGACAAACTTTTCGTCTACAGGCTGGACCCCCAAATACCCGTAAAGTGAGCACACATATCCTCAACGCGCCCTTGCCGTGGAGAATTCATGGATAACCGAGGCATCCGAACCAACACGCCTCCAGGTCCGCCAACAGGAACTCAAACTTACGTATGCCGCCAATTTTGCCCATTTTAACCTCAGAGATCCAGTCTACAGGTAGACTACCATGGGTATGTTTCAAATTCTTCTGTGTTCACAATAAACATCAGTTTTTTTGCGACAGTAAGCTATTCTACTTTACGCAGGAAGCCAACCAACAGCGCGGGGGAATGGGGCCACACGGATGACACTTGTTTGAGAAGTGGTACTGTACAAGACGACGCAATGCACACGGCAAAGTTTATGCTGTTGCTCGTTTCGGCAGTTGCTTGCTGATCGAACCAGCCGTCTGTAAGAAGGCATAGCAGTCGTGCGCAACCATCGAAATCTCGGCAAAATCGTCTTGAAGTTAGGCATGCGAGTGTGGGTCGTTCAGCTCCTGGAGGGTGATTTTCAACCTCCGAACCACCGCTGGCTGCTTGCGACTTCTCACCCCGCTACCAGCATTGATGCCGCACATGGCGGTCATGGGGGGAGGACAACCATCTTCTGTACTTGAAACACCTTCAACAACTCCCTTGGCTTCACCAACAGCGCCTGGGACTGCTCCATAACGGCTTTCGCTTCGGAAACAACCGTCGTGAGCCGCAGGAAGCTTGGACAATACTGTTGGGTCGACCTTGCTACCGCAATTTCGATTATGCTTGGCAATATCAGTAGGCATCATGTAGTCGCCTCCCGGGCCCCCAAAACTCCTCCAACCGTGGCTGGGCGCTCCTGTACAAGGTCGTTGCTGGCTTTGACGTATGGTGGCCCTTGGGTGGCCTCGACGGCCTATTTCTGTTGGTGCTGAAATGGTCGCCCTCCCTGTTGTCGTTGGCGCTTCGTTCCCCACTCTGCCGTGGCTAACGGCTGCGAAGTCGCCGGTCATCCCACACGCGGGGTCACCGCTCTTCTTCTCGCTGAAATCTTGAGGCGTGTGCGTCGTGCGCCGCTCCTGCTGCCCTCGAGTTTCGACAACGTCTCTCCCGTCTTGCCAGCGAGTAGATGGCGCGGTGATGGGAGTCGTGTTTCGGCTGCTGGTGCTGGTGTTGATTTGGCTTTTTCCGGAATCGCCGTCCGATTCACTGCCTACAACATCCACGGGCCCCGTTGGTGGGTGCTTGGCATCGTCTCCTTCTGATCTCCTCCTCCCCCTCCTGCTGCTCACACCACCCCCCGTGGTCGCAGATTTCTGTTCGTCCTCGATGAGCGTCTCCCTTCCATAGCTTGGTCGTTTTCTTGAAGGCCGGCTCCACGTCGGTGGTTGCACGGGAGGAATGGCACTGGCGACGGTGTCGTCTCCTCCTTGGGGCGAACAAGACCTGATTGTCGCCAAGAGTGTGTGCAACGGACAAGCCCGAAGGCGCAGGAGGTTTCAAGCAAATAACTTCGACCTGTACGCGTTTCGGACAGAAACCTCAACTGGATACATGCACGGATACTTCTTCATTTTTATTGTTTTACGAACTTCATTCCGACCTACGCTTCGCCCAATTAGTGGGGTCAAAAATGTCCGTTTGTTTCTTCTTCCCGGTTGCCTGAGACCAGATGGCTTGGAGACCACATGCAGTCTACAAGCCATGGATATGTCATCAGAGAGAAGGAATAGTACGATTTGGGTCCTAGTAGCGAGGTCGCCACATCGAAGAAACAGGGGCAATCCTCGGGCTTCCATCAACACATCGTTGGCCTCACGAGAAACCAACCGGCTACTGTCACTCGCACGATCAACTTCGTTTGAACCCGAGAATAAAACCAACTCGGTCTTAGTTAGCCATCTACGCCCCACACTTTGGACAACCATCACCTTGGTGTCGTCATTCTCTTCCTGCTGCCGGAGCCGGGAACACAAGACTCCCGCCACAATTGCCGCCGCGGTCTCCCCTCGGAAGCAGAACGGTTTGGCTGCTCTTGCCCAGCGGGAAGCAACCGATCCGCCGCTCGCCTGCCTCGTCCTTGCCCCGACCCGTTATCGCTCCCGCTTCTACTGCGGTGGTCTCGACGAACGAGATCGTCTCCCCTCAGCGCTTCGTCGTCGTCGTCGTCGTCTCCGCTGCTGGGAGTTAGCCGCCAGGTCGCCACCCCAACGCGAGGATGGCGGCGGTGCTGATTTTCGCTAGGATCGGCGTGGGAGGAGATGTGCGACCGCATGCGGTTGATCGGACCACCGTTCTCGTTGCTGCTGTCGCCGCCGCCGTTGTTGTTGTTGTTGTTGTTGTTGTTGTTGTTGTTGTTGTTGTTGTTGTTGTGGGGTTTGCTGCCGTTGCCGTTAGAATTTTCTAACCCTGCTGAACACATAAAACTCCCACCACCCCCGCTGCTTCCTGCCACCCTGCCACCCGGACCACAAGCGCTACAGTAGCTTTCCCCATCACTAGTAGCAGCACCCGTAGGAGGAAATGAACAGCAACTAGTGCCCATCTGCCAGCTCTTGGGGATCTCACTGTCAGCGCTAGCGTCGGCGGCCCAGAACCTGCCGCTGCAGCACTCTGATGTGTCCGACCACGGCTGCGCTGCTGCTGCTATTACTGCTTCCGTGGAATGATTTGTGGCGTTCTGATGCTGGGGGAAGTCTATCGAGCCTGCGACAGAGGAGTTCCCAATGGACGAGGCGAGAGGCCCGTCGTGGCAGGACTGTGAAGCCTCCCCGGCCTGCTTGGCATTCCCCCCCCCTTCCCCGATGCCTCCACCCCCTGCCGGAGGTTTACCCACGCCAAAGTCCGCGTCGTCGCCCCCCCTACCTCCTGCCGTGACCCCGCTCGCAAGGGTGGCGGAATCGGAGGGATAGAAGCCCCCCATGCCTTGAAGGTTCGAAACGCTTGTCGAGATGGCACCCGTTGGCGTGGCTTGGTTCACCAGGCGTTCCGGCTTGATGTGAGTCGAAGGGACCCCTGTTAAGAACGATCGCCCTTCCGTAAGTCCCCCGCCGCCACCCGATGCTTCCGCCGTCCCCGCCGAAGCCCCGGCGACCACCTGCATGCTCGACGGTGCCGGCAAGTTGGAGCCACCAACACCGCAATCTTCGGCAAGTGCGTTGCCCCCCGCGACGTTCTTGGACTCGCCAACTGCAGCCATACCCACGCGCTCCGCCGCCACGTCCCTTCCACCCCCCCCCGGGTTCCGCCTACCCCCCTCCATCGCCCCCCCGCCCGCAAGAGATAGGTGAGCAAGCCCCGGTGGCTCCCCCGGCCCTCCAAAGGACACCCTGGCAAGTTCATCATTCGACGACGACCCCGAGATGTTCGCAGTCTGCCGATGTCCCGCTATCGGAGACATCGTTAACCCTTTGGAGTCAACCGCTGAGTTGTTGTTGTGGTTGCTTTGGTTAGACTGGAAGAGCCGAGAACGTTTCAGGTGATGGTCCCGGTGCACGGCGGCTTCAACTTTCCCCCGCGGCAGAACGAAACACGTCGCGCCGTCACTCCCTGCCCCTCCGTCTTGGACGTCTGGGGAGCACCTTTTTAGTTGGAACAGCAGCGTGTCAAGCGCACGGAGTGCATGAACGCCAGAAAGGGCGGGGGCGGGGGTATCCATGATTGATCAGCTTTGTTATTCGATGACACTCCATACGAGTCGGGGCACGATTATTGTAAGAGTCGGAGAGTTGGCACCGGGTGCGATCGTTTTTATAGATGTTTTTTTTCTCGGGCTTTTTATCGCACCCCGGTGCCATCTCTCCGACCTGTGCCATCTCTCCAACCCCGGTGCGGACATGCAATTAAATCATTTCGTTTAGAAGTTCAAGGCACCCCGGTGCGATCTCTCCGACCGGTGCGATCCCCGATGAAATGCACACAGGTACAGGTGTTGTATGCACGCACCCCGGTGCCATCTCCCCGACCGTTGCCATAGTATTGATTGGTACCAGTGTAGGTACCCACGCGCGCACACGGTGTTCTGCACACCCACGCATATCTGAGCCGGAAAAAAGGCGGCGAAATACACATACAACATACTCCCCAAAAAACGGCGAAATAGCGCAAACAAAAAATCTAGACGATGCCAGTCCGTGCGAGCGCGCACACACAGCCATTGATTGTGCCATGCCAGAGGGTGCAGGTACTGGTTCCTCACGATGTCGTTTCCATCTGAGGTGGTACAGGTACACACGGTATCAATTGTTTCCCGCTTTCGTTTCGGTCTTCTTCTACGGATACCAGTACGTACGCAGAAGTACAATAGTTTCGGGTTGTGTAAGGTGGGGTAGGGTGCGCCTTATACGTTGTGTGTTTGGCTGAGTGTGCGGTTGGCAACTTCCATATGAAAACAACTGGCATCCCGCGTGAACCGCGACCATCCAACCGTACGTAAAGGAGTGGCGCTCCGCTGACTCCTTCCCCACGTGTAAAAGGTACGCACATGTACCTCATTCCGGCAGCTGAAGAGGAGTTCGATCTTGGATTTGGGGGTCGGAGAGATCGCACCGGGTGCGATCTCGCCGACCCCGGCGCGTAAATCGAATTAAATGTTTTTTCTCGTTTTTTTTTGGCACCCCGGTGCCATCTCTCCGACCGGCGCCATCTCTCCGGCCCGTGCCAACTCTCCGACCCTTACGGCACTTCCTACTTCTTGCAGACACATGACCAACGGTCTGGCATTCTGTGTTCTCGCCACATGAGAAATTTTCTTGACTTTTTCTACGAAGAGAGGAAGAGGGAGGGGCGGTTACTTGTTAGCGGGGAGTCTACGGGCCTTGTACAGCTACTGTACCTGACGCGGTAGCTGCCGGAAGCCAACACTCGAGGCCTCCGACCCTTGCTCCTTCCCAGCATCGATTCGGGAGCGAAGAAGTCCCCGGCCGTCATCACGCCTACGCAGCGCAAACCCGGAGCGATGCCCACTTCCTTGGCCAGCGAACGGTCGATGACACCCCGGTGGGAATCCTGTTCGTCGTGCGAAACAAAAACGGGACTTCGATTCTGAAACCGGGGATCCTGGTCATGACGCAACAACCGTGAAACACTGGGGGTCAACGCAAACAGGATCGTTCGTGAAAACGCTGTCATCGGGACGGCGCGCTCGTGGTGTCCTCTGATTTCACGATACGTAGCAATCTGTTCGTCTGTACTAGCCCTCGCCGGCACTGTCTACTTGCAAACGGCCTCCTTTATCTCTTCGCTATCCGCAGAACCGGGCCGGCACGTCAAGAAAAGCACGTCTAAAGAGATGTATCCGCTCGCCTTCGCTTGATGTCCTCTGGGAGTGGTCAGTTGTTGGCTTGAAGCAATGAAAAATGTCAATCGGCGCCCCTAACTCAAGCGATTGCGTTCTGCATACCGTGGCTTGATGCAAAGCCTCTGAATGGGTAAACTGTATCTATCTTCAGTATTTTGTAATGGGAATACGACCAACAACCACAGCAGAAGCAACAAGGGAACGGACATGTCACCTTCACCGCGTACTCGAGGAGGCCCTCTAGGATGATGTAGAGGCTGTCGCCGAAATCCTCCTCCTCGGTGACCACCTTTTCATCAACAACGTGGCAGAAAAACACTCGAACTTATTCATGTACCGCTTGCGTATCGCACAATGAAACAGGTAAGTTTTTCCGATATTGAGGCGCTCTCCGCTCCGCCGTGTGGACGAGCTCGGCTGTTAGCAGCCAGCTTGAGCCCATTCCCCTGTGTGATTCCATGGGTAGTCCGTTGGAGAACCCAAGTATGGCAGCACCCCTATTGTTGCTACATGTCGCGAAGTTCGCGTGTTTCCCCTCACGCCCTTCACAACCAAAACATCAAATTCGAGCCACTCCAAAATAACGGGAACTGCTGACATCACTTGGAGTCAGACTAGAGCGAAGAGTGGACGTACACGCAGAGATGGATAACTGAGATGACTCGAATCTTCAGCGGGGGGACAAATCTCTTGTTTCATTTGTGTGCGGTGAAGAGGACAAGCTCTGACCGGATATCCAGGTCGGACACGACCATGACGCGAAACCCAAACGGATTCTCACGTTCCAAGAGAACGTTTCTTCGATTGATAGGAGTCATCCCTTTCCTCAAGTCTGTGGAAGGTTGGCTTAACCAGCGCACGTGCTGAAACTACGACGTGAAAGTCGAAAGCAGTGCAGGGTATAAAGTACTTGAATGTAGCGTGGACTATCAAACAACGTTAACCTCAACGCGATTTCGCCTGTGGGAACAGAAACCTCTATATATACTACAGAGTATTTCTATCGCGCTCGGAGTGCGATTGTTGGAACCGTTGTGGAGCACAAACATATATGGTGCGGGTGACACTCAGACGTCGACGGCGTAGCCTTCTTCCCACCTCGCCAGGTTTGTAGCGCTTAAGGGCTATGCTGCCTATGAGCCTCGGGAAGCAGGGGCCGTTGATCCGCTTCAGAACAGGGTTCTCCTTGAGAAGGCGGCACAACATCTCAGCCTCTAGGCCCGCGACGCCGGGTACAACGTCGTCGCTCGGGAAACGCTTCAGCTGCGCTAGGACCTGCAGCAGGCAGCAATGAGAAGACGAAATGGTGGCTTCCTGGTTCCCTTCTGGGACCTCGCACAAGGGAAATCTCGTGTCCGGAATAACCATTCTCGATGGCGTAAACGCACAGTACGTAGCATGGGAATTGGTTTGGTGTTGCTCGGGGATAGCAAATCGAGAGCAACGAGTACAACGAGCGAGCTTGGGTCGTTATACTTTCGTCACCCTTTTTCGAGCATCAAGACGCAGCCCGCGTCTACGTAGCACGAATACTTGTCAAACCAACGATTCTTTCCCCAGGTAGAAAAAATCACCGTGCGTATTTACACAATCGGAAGGCAGCCAGCTGACCTCGACCACCCTGCAACCTCTCATCGAAGACGGGGTTTGCCAACCAGAACAAGCCTCCGATACGAGTGTGGTCGTCCAAAATCCTCCGCGAGAACGCTCTCTCGACATCATATTACCTACCTATCGTTTTTCCTTCCACCCAAGCGAGCGCGTACCTCTCGACAGACCGCGGAGTGCGAGTCCGAGTAGTTCTCCCGCGCAAGACCGTTGGCGTAAACCTCGGTATCCACAACGGCCGCCGTCGTCCCCTCGCGGGTCACCGCACGTACGCTCAGTACGCTCTGGGGTAACATGCAGTCAACAATATTATCGCGCGTTTGATATTGCAGCACCGGTCGCGCGCATCGAGCACACATGCTAGTCAGTGACAGTTTTGGCTTTAGGGGGAAGAGGACATGCATACCCAAGGAAACGCGAACTGTTGAATATGTTGTAGATCTTCATGATATTGCGCACTCGATGGGCGCGCTGAACGAATTTGCAATTCTATGTTGTTTAATATGGATGCTTGGAACACAGGACTGAAACGAAGGCGATATCAACGGACTCCCAATGTCTATGCTACAATGTTGCGTGACGATGACCGTGATCATGGAAGCAAAAGGTTTGACAGGCCCCTCCACGAACATAAAGCATAAGAATTTCAGGGGGTCCTGAAACAAGCGCTCAACTAAGGTAAAAATGTTCGTGTAGGCGGCATCTTGTCCGCAGCCAATTGTCAAACGACAGAAAGCAAGTAGCCCCGATCCGGATTGGTTCTCCGCCGGTGCGATAATGCTATTACGGTGACGTAGCGTTGGGAAGAGTAGCACTTATGACAAGAACTGCAACAGCAACAGCAACAGTAACAGCAACAATACTACCGGTCCTCGAAGTCACGACCACTACACCCCGATCACTAAGATAGCGACAGCCTCTTGCACGACCCCGACTTCGGCCTTCGACAACGGCGGCTGAAGGCTCCAACCACGACGGCTGCCACAACACAACAACGAAGACGACGACCACCACCACAACGAAACCAACAAGAACAACAACCATGACCAGGCCGATCTTCGGCATTGGCTGCACATGCACGCACCTCCTCCGAGTTCGGGTACTCCCCCAGCACCTGCCTGTCGAAGTGCATGGCTGCGCACGGCCCGAGCCCACTCGCACGCCAGTCCTCCAGGGACAGCGCGTTGTCAACATCGAAGTTCTTCAGGTGCCCCGCTGCCGGTATGTCGAGGGTTTCGACCGTGAACCTGGGAACCACGTTGGATTAGCACAAAACACCGGAAACGATAACCTGTCAACCTAAGGGGGGCATACAGCTCAAAGGCGGAGCACGCAATTTCTTTGTCGCGCCGCGCCTTAAAGCGCAAGAGAAAGGGCTGCTTGCACAAGCTCCGATACACGTGGTTCGAACACCGTATGACGGCCGGGATGGATGCTCAGCATGGCGTTGAACGAGTTCACGAGTGTGAAGGGAAACTCAGTAACGTCATGTCGGATGAGCTAGCGGTGTGGTTTATCCGCTGAACCTCTCACGTCACACCTCACGTCGGTCTCCAGTGAATCTCTCGGTTGTGTTTCTTTACCGTTAGCGGAACACGTCCGCTCATGAACCCCCCCCCTCCCCATAGTCCATACGCTGTTGCTTAGCCTAGCGGCGTCTGTTGGACTCAAACCAAGCGTCTGCAAACACCCCCCCCTTATGACTTCCCCGCATCACATTTAACACCCCATTCTAAATGTCGATAGTATCGCAGGAGGGGCGGGTAGGGGGAAACCCTTTTGTGTGACCACGGATTGGCGTAAACGGCACAAGTGCTGTGAGGGTAAATTTGAAGTGAAAATAAATAAAATTCGCGAGTGAACCTACAGTACGCCGGCAACTCGACCAAAACCAATTTCCTCTATGTTGAACGAACACGCCTGTGCGGACCTGTTTGCATTGGTTACAGCCTGTAGAGAGATGCTGCCCTTGACAATGAAGAGGTAGGTCTTGGGGTCCTTTTCGTCGCGTATGAGCTCCGAAAACGCGGGCCATACCTGCCCGGTATGGAGCAGCACGGGAGGCGGAGGTTTAGGTGGGATAAAGATGGTTGCGGCGTTTGACAACGCCGACAGTCTCAACAGCCGCGACAATAGCAGCCGCAGCACCACCATCAGCACCACCACCACCACAATAATGGCAGCAGCAGCAGCAGCAGCAACAACAACAACAACGACAACAACAACAACAACAGCAGCGGCAGCAGGCAGCACCTCAAGGCGGAGCGCCGCCGCGATACGGGTCTTGAGACAGGCCGGGACGTGACGAAACCTGGCGATGTCCAGGCCGCCCTTTGGCGTGCTCAGCTCGTTGACGATGTTCTTCACGTCCCTCCGAGTCCGCCGCTCGGGCGGCACCGCGAGCGAGCGCAATGCTCTCGTGCCCACGGGGTGCTCGCCGCCCGCTTGTTTCTCGGCCGCCCGTACCAGCTCCACGTCGCCACGGATAACCTGCGGTAAGTGACTGTGGGTTTCGTGCTATGTTGCACCGTTAGTTTCCTTGCCCGTTCTACCAGAGTGGGAATCAAGGGAGGAGCAATGAATGCCTGAGCAGTAGCCCCCTTGCAAACAGCTGCTCTTCCTTAACGCCCCCAAGTAACAATAGTTCTTCATGTGAGGTCTTGGCAACCAGCGCTTTAGGGAAGAACAAAGGGGGCACTCAAACGGGCCACAACAGCCGGACGATTGTCACTCGGAATATGAACAGGGCCCGGGGGTTGTTATCCTCCTGCACGCAAGGATCTATGTAGCCTTCTGAATCTTAGTTTGCGGCTCTCAACCACCGGGCTACTGCAGGCACCTCACACCCCTCGACGGTTACAATATCGAAGCCCGCCTCCGCCCCGTGGTGCATGTGCTGCATGCCCCACAAGTCCCCCGGCTCCAGTCTGCCGACTTTCACAATACGGGATGCCGATCTTGTCCTCGTGGTCTACCGTATTGAATACCCGTGCCAGAGAATAGAGGGCCAGGGCGGACGGTGTATTGCGGTGGGTCATGTCACCATGGGGTGCTTTGTACAATGTTGTCGCCAGAGAGAGGTTGATAGAGCATGGGGGAAACTTTGACTTTGTCAGCTCCGGCCATGGGTTTCGCTGGACAAGGCCGCCAGTGGCTGTAGAACGGGAAGAGCAAGATTTGTGCCTTATGTGTTCGGGTAGCGTACAAAGTTAGCAGCCGGCAGTGCCACTCTGTCACATTACGCATTCAGGTGGGTAAGGAGAAAGAACGACTGGGAATGGGTCAGGAACATCTGGTTCAGAGTCTCTCTCTGACACCCCAACCCACCCCAAAGACCAACAACGACGACGCCGAGGAGGGCCAAGGCCGAGGACCTCCACCCAATTACGAAGCGTACAAACACACCTTAGAGACCTCCATGATGCGGGCAGACCCTCTAAGCAGGATGAGGAACCCGGTCACCTTTTTCCCGTGCTCTACCAGAACCTGCTCAACGATGCAAGGTTCGGTGCACGTCAGTTCGCGGTAAAAATGCCGCCAGGTACAATCCCCACGATTACAGCCATGTCCGCATTGTTAATACTTTTGGTCTCTGACCCAAACCATCGACAACAATGTCCGCATAGACAACAACTTGGTGGTTTTCTGAACCGAACAATTTCGATGGCCTAACGTGCTGCTATCTCTCATTTCTTGCGAATAGTAGCTCCGTTTTAGTCGCCCATATGTTGCCCTTTCCCTTTTTTTATTTATTTCGCTACAAGCCAGCTGCGGATTTCCTGCAACTCCTACTTACATCATCAATGAAGGCGGACAGAAAGTCAGGGAAAAACCGAGACAGACGGAGAACCCGAGCTGATCGGCAATAGAAACGGCACAGCTAACATCATGCCAAGAGCAAGCCCGAAGAACGATAGAGACTGAAACTCTGCATGCAGACAGAAACACGAGAATATTGCCCAACCTACACCCATCCCCGCGCACCCGATACAAGATATATCTTTGGTTTGGCGGTTTTGGGCTACATTTTCATGAATCAAATGCGACGTTTCGTCCCCCAAACCTAGTTTTGCTTATCAACCATAGCTCATGAACATTTCACTAGAATAGTTTGTCTTGGAATCTACCTCTCCTCCGGCCACGACCGTTCTGTTAGTCAGGCGGCTCGCGATCCGCTCCAGCGAGAGGGCCGCCATCTGCTGGAAGGCCACGTGGTGCGATAGCACGTTCCTCGCGATGTAGCTGATCTCCCTCCACGTCCTCAACCCGGGAGTCTTGGCCAGGGTTCTCCTCACCGGCTGGAATGCGCCATACAGCAACAATGCAGGGCGGGTAGCAGCATGGGTCGGGGAGACCGATATCTTGTTGTAGAGGAGGAGGACATATACCTGCTTCGCTGACTTGGGGGAAATCGGCGGCAAGCACTTGGTAAAGTATTGATGGTGACCAGGCCGCCACGATCACTCGTGAGAAGGATGATCATTTCAGGCTGCTGCTGACGGGACCCCGCAAAACAGGTGGAGAAGCCGCGAAGACAGACAAATCCCGTAATGATAAGAGCTGGAAAACCTTGTTGGGTTTCAGAGGAAGAAATCGTTGTATCGTGTCTATTCAAGAGCAGGGTGGGTAATGGTCGCGTTAAGACGATAATTCGCTGGTCATCTCACCTGCCATTGCCAGTATGGCAGCCTCTGGATACTGGAACGCTCCGCAAGTACTTGGTCGACGTCTGTGCTACGGCTGCGTGAGGTTAGTGGGTTCGAAAAGAGCTCGCTTTGCTTTTCCCTGGAGATTGAAAAACAAATCTCCCAACTGCAGAAATACCTTCAGTCTTCACTGTTATCGCACGCCTACCTCCATGCTGTAGCACAGGTCGACCCCGGGGTAGATAACATCGTGAAACGTGTGCGCATCCACCAGTAGCACTTCCGTTGCTGGGGCCGAGGAGTCCCCGACTAGCTTGCACAGATCAAAATCCTTCCAGTCATCACCAACATCCTACCCAAAGAGGCGGAACCCCAAGGGCGCCGGGAGTAAAGTGGAGAATCCGAAGAAAGACTCAGTAGTCATTGAGCCGTTGCACATTTGGAGGACGGTCAGTATTTTTCACACCTTGTCCAGTTCTCCAGTAGCCTTTATTTCTTTCCAAACGAAAGAAGGGGATGTATTGCGTACGGTACGGTATTACTTAGGGTCAAAGACCCACGGGTACGTACCCCTGAAATTCCTCGAAAAATGGAGCTTGTTACGTTGGGTACCATGCCCAAAATCCGGCCCCACAGCACTGGCATCCTACCCAAAGAAGGAATTGGAGTACCGTGTGAGTACCCGCACTCAGAGGATGTGCCTCCTTTAGGCCCGGGTGGTTGCGAGAACTTGTTCGACCAGTCGAGTTCGGCCATTGGGGAAGTATATCCATCAAGAGTAGAATCGATGCATGTCCTTCAGAACCGAGTTTCGAGAATGCATCGAAACTTGATTTGGGACAAAACATCAAGTACGGCGTGGTTCATCAGCTGTGTGTTTTCTTTCACGGCTTGCTGAGGAAACATCGCGACTAGCACCTGCCACATGCGGCCGCGCAGCTTGTTAGTATTTTCTAACGCAAGGTACGAAACATGCCAAGGAGCGGAACAAATCTAATATCTGGAGCACCTCCTGACAGATTTCGGATTAGTATAGGTGCTTGGTCCATGCAAGTAATGTAGTGTCCCTCATGGTCCAGGTTACCCCGCCTTTCCTACGTTTGGTGTCCTCTTGTTCCCGACAGAGTGAATTTCGAGGTGAATTTGGGGTGGACAGGGTTCATCGGTATGCTTGCGTGTGCGTGCGTTCGATGCCAACATACTGGGTTTATTTGGGGGCTGGTACAAGAAGGGTGTCTATTCATTCCCTGCGTGTAGGTTCGGATAGCCCCACGCATCCTCCATTTTGGGGCCTGGATAAGTGCGCAGGGCAGGATGCCCTTCACGTACTTGGACCCAGACTACCGGAACCCACCGAACCCAACCTGAGAAGATACAGGCATGCTAGGGTCGTCGCACCTCGATACCGGGGGCGTTGAAGAACGGCGACTTGTTCCGCCAGAAAACCATTTACCTGGTCAAAGTCGTTCTCGCCTTTCCGGTTTCTGCTTCCCATCATCATCTGAGATATCTGAGCCGGAAAAACGCCTCCCGCTTGGAGAGTCGTCAGGGTGAACTCTCGGTCCTCGTCACCGTAGTTGCTGCAATCGCTGGGACCGTGTCCCGGGCCGCCGCTGATTGCATCGCCGTTGACGAACGCGTGGTTGTTCGGGTCGCTGACGCCGGTGTGTTTGTGTGTGTCGTGGTGGTTGGTTCTGCCGTCTCCTTTGCGGATTGTATCCTCTTTGATGATTGGAGTGTTGTTGTTGTTGATGCTTCGGCTGCAAGTTGTGGTCTCGGAATACTTTATTCCACCGTACTGCACGTGTCTCTCCCCGCCAGCGGTTCCTTCCTTTCCTCCGATGCTGTCGAGATCAGATTGCTGCGAGCTTTGCGGAGTCTCCGACCGCGTGCATGGGGTAGGTTTCCGCCTTGAATAGTAGAAACAATAATGGAGAAAGGCGGGACAAAGGAGGGTCGGGAGAATGCCATGCTCCAGACATGTTCAAGTAAACACCAGTGAGCGAGTTGTTCAAGCAGCGGTGCTTCTACTCGAGTGGAGAATGACTCCCAGGGGTTCCAGGAACATATGCTACAACAGCATCACCCATGCCGCATATATAATCAACCACCCTTCTTCACACGCCCACACGAAGACATTGCGTGGTTTCTCTCCGGCTTCAGATATGTTCGGGTACTCGTAAGCAAAAGCAACGACCGCTGTGTTGTTCTGACCCCCTTACCCCCACATTTTGTCACCTCCTGCATGTGGCCCTGAGGCAACCGGACACAACAATGGCGACTTGATCGCAGTCCACGCGAGACAGGTGGATGTCGTTGGGGTCGACCGGCATTCTGTTTGTCCACTCCAAGAAAACGCCTCCATGGCCCTCCCTTCGTAGTGTGAACTGAGAAACCAGAATCTGCACATCGGTGCCGTTGTAGGTATGTTGGTTCATTCATTCCAAATTTTGGTGTTGGTCGCGTTGTTGTTGAACGTATGGGTCACGTGCTGTGAAGAAAAATCCCCGTGTGTGTTTAATGTGTGTGTCTGAAAACATCTGCGTTATGGGCGGTATGCGAAATTGCGTTCAACCTCATGCCACATCCCTCGTGTCCCGTCCGCTTTCCCTAAAAGCGTACCCGTTGTTCACCCTGGAAACTTTCTGGTTATTATTCTACGAGTAGTGGCCAAAATCGGGTACACCCGGTCCAAACACGGCCATAATCGGGTACCCCTACAAGACGCTGCGGGAGCGACCGCATGACACCATCTGATTGGCCGACGCCCACTCCTACCCGACATTGACCGTCTTTCCACCGGGTGGACCCGATCTTGGCTACTCACCCCCCGGAGGGGTACCCGGTTTTTCTTTCCCCTACCCGAAAATAACTGGGCTGTTCGGCCAAAACCCATGCACACAATCACGGGTCGGACGCACACCGCTGGCCCTCGGTTGTCGCCAATGAGAAAGTAGCGGGAGGGAGAGAATATGTCTATTTATTAGATGAGTCTTGCGTGTGTCGCATCTCGTGAGGTACTCATTCCAGCTCTTCTTTTCGATCATTTGCACAGATCGCCTGCCGTTTCCCCCAAGGGAGACTTCCACCGCCGGCGGGGGGTCTGCCTCCCCCCGCCGGGCCTTCAGAACGTCCGAATTCGAGGGCAGGGCATTGCTGACATGTACTTGTGTGCATGGGTTTTGGTCGAACAGCCCAGCCATTTTCGGGTAGGGGAAAGAAAAACCGGGTGCTCCTCCGGGGGGTGAGTAGCCAAGATCAGGTGCACCCGGTTGAAAGACGATCAAGGTCGGGTATGGGCGGGCGTCAGCCAATCAGATGGTGTCTTGCGGTCGCTCCCAGCAGCGTCTTGTAGGGGTACCCGATTATGGCCGTGTTCGGAACGGGTGTATCCGATTTTGGCCACTGCTCTTGTTCTACCTCTCTCTTGCCTACAGTTTCAGATACATAACTCATTCGTGTTCTGTTCAAGGTTGGTGTAGGTGTAGATGGAGCTGGTGTCAAAGCCGCACATCCGAGATGGCTCAAACGTCTGCGATCTATTTCAACCACAAATGTGTCGTACATGATTGTCCGGGTTTCACCCCACAACCGCGCACTAACATGAAGATTCATGAGGGGTTACCAGTGAGAAACGCGAAACCACGCCAAAAAAGGAAGGAATATTTAGCACCAAAACTCATGGATGCTGCTGCGTATGCAATACCGTTTCAGCGCAAGCAGGTACACACCTCCCGAACCTCTGTCGAGTAGCCATTGATTGGCGGAAAGTTCAGGAACTCCAGGGCCACAAGAACCTCCTCGGCCTCCGCCCCACCCCTGAGAAGGATAGACTTCGCCAGCTCGGGACTCCACACCTACAGAAATGCATCGTGAGTTCGTCGGGCGAAAGCCGCAAATGGTCCAGTTGTTTGGTCGGGAAGGAAACACTCGAGAACAATGGTGAGAGCGTGCCGGACGATGAAACTCGTTGGACGTATACGCAAGTGCAACAATGACGGGAAGAATCTGAAGATTACATCAGGCCATGTCTATCCTGATGAAAGCGCGACTCACGAGGGTTTTGCTGGGTTTTGGGACCCCGCCAGGTTCTGGGACCCCGGCAGTTTGGTCTTGCTGAGGGTCCTTGGAATCGCGATCTTCTGCTCCTGGCCAAAGCTTGAGAGGGACGCCACACCAGTCACCAGCCGAAGAGCCCCGGATGCGGGAACATATTTCGTCGAGATTACGAGTATGGGCACAAGCGTAGCTTATTCGCATAGGTAGGGGTGAACAGTGCCAACAGGGATTGCAATCATTGTCTGGGGTCTTGCTTTGTTGAATCTCTGCAGTAGTCAGACCTTCCAAGATCGTCTGTAATCAACAATGTGGTTGGACACCAAAACATGGGAGCGGATACCGACATAAGCTATTCTTCGAGCTCGTTTTTGCCGAATATATTATTCGGTCCAACGCTTCGTCGATTTGGAGTCTTACTGTACCGTATGACTACGGGGGCAGAGTATAGTCGAGACACACCCTGAGACAGTGCTCGAAGGGAATCTTGGCCGCTAGTCCCCTTGTGGCACAAGTCACCACCGGGAGATCCACCATTAGCTGGAAAGAAGGAGATGCTGGGGTTCGAAAGCCGAAAGTATCTCCTGCAGGGAATTCCAACCCTGCTGCCTGCAACAGAGGTAAGGCCGGTCATGGTTCGAGAATAAGCATGTAGCTCTTTCTTGTGTTTTCTAGGAGAACTGCCAAGTGGGGAGACCTGAACGTGTCGTACTTGGAGAGTTCGAGTCGCTTCTAGCATACGCAGAACCACTCTCCTTGAAGAGTACTCGTGTCTACCTAAGCAACACCTCGAGTACTAACAGGGCACATTTCACACAAGAGTGTAGACCAACCACAAGATTAGTGTGTGTGCAACGGTGATTAACCACGCCGTCAATATCAAGTCTGTCAATGGCACAGTGGCGCTACAGTACAACGTTCGTTCGAACCAACGCTGTTCTCGTCGTTACCTCGGCCTTGACGCTACCGGAGAGGATAATGTAGAGCGCGTTCTCTCCCTCCACTGAGAGATGGACATGGGCGCCCGGCTCGATCTCGTACGCCTCTGCGCATCGCGCGATGCTTGACCTTTGGGTACGTTTACGCCAGTCGAAGCCGGGAATTTTACCAACATGCCAGACGTTCCTCCTCTATAGGGGTGTGTAGAAATATCGATGCTGTGCGACATCCACAAGCCCACGTAGAGCCGACGCGATTGCACATGGGTACCAAGTGTTGTACATTATGATGGGTTTGCCCTGATACGGCCTCACGGCAGTACCGCGCCGCACACACAGCAACCACGTTATGTTCTCCTTCTCATTGACACCTGAGTTGGCTTCACAACTGATATGTGGCGCACCTTGTGACGACGTCCAGTTGCCGAACGAAACTAGCCTGATAAAGGCCATTCGCTATCTCAAAGACATCCTCAGAATTTCGAAGTCTCTGTGGGATGTTCAGCAGTCGACGGATCTTCTCCTCGTCGACTCCTGTTGTGCTGGTCGATTCCATCGCAGGTGGGCTGCTGCAGGCCCCCAAGTTCCTCTGAAATCTTGATTGATGAGGAGGATGACAACTGTATGGTAGAATAGCAGTCGCCACAAAGCTGCAACGCCGGACCTCTCTCTGGTCGCTTGCGTGATCGGCACGTCTCGATGCCAATCAGATATTGTAGTGACACACACAAGAGCGGTACTGCTGTACATGTAGTGACAGAGCGATAACTACAGAGAGCGAGCGAGTTTCAATCGCACCTCGACAATAGGCGATTCTGAACTGAGATTAAATACATCTTGCCTTCTCCTATTCGTGCCCACCGCAGCAGTTTTCCTTCAAAACCGCGGGCGCAGGCGCACAAGCGAAGCAACGCATTCCCGAAAAATGCGGCGGGACTTACGGACACAATCCCGAACCGAAACGTGATAATGGGTTCCCCGCGGTGAAGCGGCGAGATTCTTGTCCGGAACACGCGGCCGTAGCCGGGAACGACTGTGTCGTAATCGCTGTGTCGCCGCCTGTGCTCCAACTCGCTGAATAGAACACAGGACCGATTCCTTCAGTTCGATAGGGAGAAACGAAGTCAGGCCAACCATGACTGGCAGAAGGCGAACCCGAGGTGAATCAGCACACAACCCCGAAGCGGCTATCCAATAGATGACGTCTGAGTTGTGATCTGCAAACCTTGGATATCACCGGTCAGATAGCGGATCCTATCCCAAGTTGTATGTCTTGCAGGGTATAATGCTAGGCTGTCTTATACACTCGCCGTCAATGCTCTGCACGACTCCCTCACGGGGTGTCGCGTGTCTGACAGCCGGGGATGTCGCAGTCCACGCTGTATTCTGAAGGATCCGTGAATCCAAGGCGACTGGCTTCCGTACGGAACCAGATCTACTGTTGACTCGCACTCCTTCACTAGAGTCCAACAGTGTGCTCACACTCTACCAAACATTCGTCTGACATGTATCCATTTCCCCCAAAATAGTCCACAGAGCATGGCTTCCGATGACTGTGGCAGCGGCTTTTCTCCACCGTGGTCAGTCGGGAGACCTTGAACACAGCACCACCGGTGGTGGCCGTGCGGCTGTACAAGATCATGCCGTGGGAAGGCCTTTTGATGAACGGGCTGACCAACCGGGCGGTAGCCCTGGAAGTGCTGCCGGCAGAAGCTCAGAATCGGCATCGCTTCTTGAGAAATACACCTTTCGCGAGACAGTCAGGACGGTGATAGAGGAGGACCAGTTGCCGGAGCTGCCGGACTTTCTCGAAGAAATAGGCCTTGGTGACAAGCTTGAGGTATTTTTCGTGTCTGCCTACATCGACTGCTTCAGAGGCACTGGAGAGGATATGGTTCATTGGTTCCTACCGTAAAGTGAACGTTGCGGTGTTATTAAGTGGTCAGGATGCGCTCTTCAAGTTGTGGACATGCTACTGTGAGAATGTTAATTCTACTGTACATGTATTGTTTCTGCTCTGTCTGTGGAATAGAGACATGCTGACCTCAGTGTGTTGCCTCAAACTTATTATTCGCCGCCCGTGGACTCAACCGTGCTTATCAGTGAAGGATTGACACAGGAAATAAAAGCACGCCGCTAATGATGTGGACAGGATGCTCACGGATTCACATTGTGCATTTCGTTTCATCCGTCTTCGCCGTGTTCAGGATTTCTACCGGAAGAGTGTGTTCGAGACAAAGTACATCTTTACGCTGAATGACATGGATCTCCGGCTCATGGTAAGCGAGAGTTTGACCCCTCCCGAAGATATGTAGAGACCTGCAATGATTTATAAACTCTCTTTGGGTGCGTCTCGTGCGCGGTGCAGGCCAGGAAGAGATAGTGTTGCTCCAATCCCGTCCTCTCTGAGCTGGGGAAGGGAGCTCGGGGGGGGCAGAAATGAGTTTATCGTCTGAGAAAGCATGCCAGCGAGATACAGCGGACGTTTGACTCGTTATTGCGACCAGGACCCCTGTGCGTCACAAACGGTCGACTACTGGAAGAGCGTTTCCATGCAGACCTCGCTAGTACACATGGCCTTAAGTGCGTTGACCCTCCACACCCACACCAACAAACCACTTCGCTCTCTTCTTTCGCGGGTTTTCGCCAACAAACTCGAACGATCACCAATCACTCACGGCACGCACGGAACGACCAGGGCTTGTCCCCCGCGGACATCGCTACAGTCAAGCAACATGCTGAAGAGCTTCGCGTCGAAAGGGACGTCACAGAAGAACGGCTGCACCCCCTCCTACAGAGGCGGAACGAGCTTACCTACGGCAGGCTGTTTCTCGACCGGTCAGCGTCGAGCTTTGAGGTGCAAACTACGAATCGTTGCCGTTTGTCGACGGAAAAAGCGCTGCCAATACCTGTAGATCAACCAAAATAAATTCAGCAAGAGCGCAACAGAGAGGGCAGGCTAAGCACGCCTGCGTCCTCCTTTCCGACCCCTGGGCACCTCCAAACGGCGATACACCTCACCGTCAGCCCTGATTCCGTGTTGCCGACTCGGCCATAGCCACCGGACAGCCCACTGAATCGGCGCTCAAGTATCTGACCACGTCTTTCCGAACAGGCCATAACCACCGGAGAATTCAGTGAACCGGCCGCCAAATACTTATCCCGGAGCACACCATTACCCCAACATTGCTTTCCACACCCGTTGAAGTTTTACCTTGCAGGATTCGGCCCGCCGGTTCCCGTGGACGAGGCTTCACTGATCTGGGCCGAGCCTCGCGACGCCTGTGGGACCCTTACCAACTCCGAGCTGCTACCCGGGACAATCGTGTTGGCCGAGAGGGGACGGTGCAGCTTCGTAGATAAGGTACGGGATGAGCTATTGAGGTGGAGCTTGGATACGGGAATGCTTGCAGTCACCGTGTTGCAGGATTGCGTGTTGGAGACTGCCGAACCATCAGCAATAGCAAGAGCAGTTCAGTGTCGTCCGCGGCGCTTGCAAGGGGGTTAGCGTCTTGGTGACGGGAGAATCTCATCACACAGAACTGTAACAGCAATACTATCCCTCCCCGACAAGCCGCTGGCAACTCTCTGTTGTACCAACGGCAACGGCAACGGCCGCCAGAAGCGGGAAAAAATAGCGATATGCTCATCTGAAAGCAAAATCCAACCTATAAAGCCAAGGGCATGTTTAATTTTCTTAGGTAAACGTATCGTGGCAAACAACGCGCTGATCGATAAAGCATGCTCAACACGATGCAAATCCTTGTAATCCCCACCGAGCCCGCTTCGCGCTAGAAGCTCTGGTCTCCCGGCTTATCATTTCGTCGAACATGCACCTTCTGCTTTTCGCCGCACGCTAATCCCAGGCGAACACAGTCGCAAGCAGCAACGCGTTGGCCTTGGTCGTGATCAACAACGGTCCCGAGGGGGAAGACCTATTCCGGGTTGCCGCAACCTTGGGAGGCCGTAGCGGGGGAGGGGAAGAGCCGAAAGGGCCCGAGAACATGCCCACCGTAAGTCAGACAGGGGGCTACTTTTCCGTCATTCCTCTTGGTGTACCTAGTTTTTTTTTTCTGAGAGTCTCGATATTTCTTAGTCAGGCAATGCTTCGAAATGTTTGCTAACGCATCGCGAGAATCCGTGCAACGGGTTCGTGGCTCGTCGACTATCATGTGAACATGAACACCGTGGGGCAGTTGCTACAAACCAGCTGGAAAACGCCCACTAAACAAGGCAACCCCGGCAACCAACATATGTGGGAGAGGGAAGCGAAGGTGCCTTCGTTCTCAAGCCTACAGCATGCAGCCGTGCAGGACGCTATTCCCACCCCCACCCCCCGCCCAATGCTCCGTCTTCTCGAGGACGCGTGGTCAATGTTCTAACCGCTAAGGCATTCAAAACGAGTACCTCGTCCGCCCCCTCTGAACCAAAGGTGCTCGTGCGTGGCTCGGCGCTCCCGTCGCTGTCCAAAGCTCTGGAGTGGACCGCTAATGGCGATGGGGGGCCCGTCACGACACGACTGGTGGCTTTGGACTGCAAGCCGGGCAGGGCGGCCTGTGAAGCAGTGCTGCCGGAAGAGCAACAGGCCGAAAAACAGGCGTGTTTTTGTCTAGGATGTACCCGATCGGTAGATCGTTTTGCTTGGCCCCCTCTTGTTTCTAGACACTGATGTTGGCTGCAACGGACGTATCTCGCAATGAGGCTCGAGTTTACGCATGCTGCGACGGTTCTGATGGTTAGGGTTGACTCCGAAAAAAAAAGACATCTCCCGAAAGCTGTTTCTCGGGTGTATACAGTCTGTACTTCCCCGAGAACAAAATATAAGAACCGTCGTGGATTACGCAAGTGCCTTACCACTTCCTCAAACCTTCCGTTCACGCAACACAGGACGCGTTGCGTTGCGAGAAAATATCTGGAACAATGCTGGTCTTCGTCCTCATCATCACCAAGTACGGTGCTCAAAATAGCTGCTCGTAAGCCCGTGATCCCCCATTTATATCTGCCTTCCCCCACCGTAGGTTGACTCCGGAAAAATCACCATCGTCTCCGGGTTACCAGCTTCACCACCATCATCGGCAGCACAAGGCGTCGACGCCGCCAAAGGGGCAGCGTTATCTGCAAACGCTTCCGGGGCGTCGTTCGAGTTCCTCTCCGCCACCTTCGGGGCAACCCTTCCCCGGGGACACGTGTCTGTCGTCCCCTCCGTGCCCGAGGACGCCTGCCAACCCATCGCTCCGCTCGCGGCCGTAAGCAGCAGCAGCGGTAGTACCGGCGACAGTAGCCGCGGTGGCCGCGGCGTCGGGGGCCGGGGTGGTGGCGTTGCCCCAGTCGCCGTGCTGGTGAAGAGGGGGGCATGCTCCTTCGGTGTCAAGGCTAAGAATGTCCAGGTGCAGTACTACAAACAGGAAGGGGGGGGGCAGCAAGCATGAATTACCCCCCAGCGTTTCTTTTCTACGGTGTTATCGTTCGGAAGTTTCGAAAATCGCCCGGTGAAGGAGAAGTCCTCAGCCCGCTGTGATTAGCACCCTGCTCATCGGCGGTTGTTGATCTCGTAACATACGTCCCCAGGAGGCCGGCGGGAGGGTGATCATCTTTCACGACAACGGGCTCGGCGTGCTGCAAAACGTGGGGGCACCGGATCCGTTGGTGAGAAGAGACAGACGCATGGGGTGGCACGCGCCTATCAGGGACGGGGGTTTGCGGGTCAGGCGTGCTTGGCTACTACAGTAGTGTAGTGCAAAACAATATTTCGCAACGGCAGCAGAGGTGATCGCGGACATACCGTGCATGGTGAGCAACGGGGTTCAAGGTGCAACATAGTGTGGGTTTTGGGGGGGTTGCTCGGATGGACGTGCTGTGTCGGAGACGACGCGCGGGAGGGGTGCGCGAGGCTCACGACTCTCTCTTGGCAAAGCACATTTGTAGAAGCTGGCTTGTCTGACAAGTTGGCGAGTTCCAAGCCTCGGAACGAGGAAGCGAGGTGATAACACATATAGAAGGCTTAAATAGCTTCTTGACGCACGCGCGGTGCTCGAATTCGCAAGATCAACTCGTAGCCTTTCTCCCGTCGTCCTTCGTTGGAGGACCCTTGCCCCAAGGAGCGTGGCCACATGCCCCTCCGCCTCGGGATTGGGGTTCTGCGAAATTCCACACGTTCCGAGGGCTACGGTTATATGCACATCGCGATGGACGCAAGCAGGAAGGCACTCAAGGAGTGTACGCCACGCAACAACGCGTTATCACCTCTCTTCCCCCTCCCCCCCTCTCTCTCCATCGGCGCTCTGTCCCTTGCAGGCAAAGGAGCTTTTCATACCCGGTGTGTTCGTTACTGCGAGGGCGGGAGACAGCCTTGTCGCCGCCAACAACAACAATAACGGGCAGGATGGCAAAGGAATGGGGCCGCTGGCCGTTACATTTGAGCCCGACAACGCCATTGGGCGGGCTTGGGGCGCCCTGGGGGCGACGCATTGGCCTAACGACCTCCTCGAAGCGCGGGTGTTGGCAAGGCAGCTGCGGGTAAGAAACTACGACACGAAACAAAACAAAACGCCCATCCCACTTACGAGACTTGCGGGTTCCAAATCTGTCGAACAATAGGAAGTAGCAGGGTGCGTTCTTGTACGTACGTAGATGACGAGAGATCCGAGTGTGAGCTTACTAAAATTTGCATGTGTAGGCGTGGCTTCCCGGTGCAGATTTATTGTGTATGTTTCAGACGGTGACGCCAAAAACACCACCACCACGACCACCACCAATGACAATAGCAACGACGACGACGACAACAGCAACAACAACAACAACAACAACAACAACAACAACAACAGCAAACACCCCACACTACAACCGCAGGCAACCCACGCATCGAGCCCTTGCCGAACGAAGTGGGTCGACGACAAGGTGCGGCGAGCGGAAGGTCTACCTACTGATGCCGGGACCCCGTCAGACCAAACGGCAACTACGGTGGCAGCCACCGTGGCGGTCGCGCCGGAAGCGGGCGAGGCGTCCGCCGCTGCAACTCTTCCGCGAAAGACGGCAGCGGCGCTGAGAGACACGGGGGGCGTTGAGGAAAAGGCAACAACCCCTGAGAAACAGAGGCCATCGACGAAGGAGGAGGAGGAGGAGGTGGTGGAGGAGGAGGGGGAGGAACGACGGGGCAATTCAGAGCAAGAACCATGCTCCTCGGAGGAAGTATCACCTGAAGTCGCGAAGGGTGTGGATGGTGTCCGTGGTGCGGCAATGGTAGGAGGAGATGGGGAAGGTGAAGTGGGGAGGGGCAGTTGTAAAGAGAAAAGGGAGGGGGAGGGGGAGGGGGAGCGACGCGGAGGTCTCAAAGAGCTCTGAAAGCGTTCCACCGCTTCGGATCTGGACGAGACTGAGACTCAGTTGTAAGCTTTGTTCGTAAAAGCGGGGTGTTTCTCGCACGTCCGGCGTGCCGTCACCGTTTGCCCTGAATGAACGGGCGCCTGGTTTCACGAAATGTATGGTCTAGGACGGCTGACGAACTTTTTTACCTTTGACCACATTTTATTGCTCGAGAAACAATCTCCATGTTGCTCCTCGGGGCTGCATGGGTTGGCATCGCCTCGCGTGAGAACTGTTGATCGGTCGGAAATCATCGAGGATCTATGTTATCCCCTGGGAAAGGACCATTGCGGCACTGTCACTCACGTACACGACGGGGGCGGAAGCCGCTCCATAATTCCCGCCGCACTTTCGATTTTCTTTTTGAAGTACAAACGGGCCTATTGCAAGCACAAACCGTTTAGGGTGCTGTACGGGGTATCTTCGTTCTCTTGATTTGGCCAATAGGAGACACGCTCCAATTCCCAACAAATGCTTCTCATTACCTACCTGTTCGGCGGGGTCCGCATACACTAAACGAAACATGCTAGTTGGTGGTGCGTCGAAACCGTTTCTTCAGGTACGGGTTATTAGCGGATTCGGGGGTTTGCCTTTCATTCCCCTGTAGTTCTCCTTTCTCTAGGCCTTCACCCGTACATTCTAGCGACAATTCCTCGCCGTCACCCTCCTGCCCTCGGGAGAAAAAAGGTAGTGAAACACACGGCAGATGCAGGTACACGGCGGCGAAAAATTGAAGCTTTTCCCACGGTTGTCGAGAAGGACCCGCAGTACTGTAGGTTGTCCTCTAACGTGGCTTTGTTGCCGGCGCGGCTCTCGAACTCGAGCACGAACCCTAACGATCCCACGATGCGGCGCTTCGACGCACGGAAACTGCCGGCGTTTATGCGCCATCTTGTATGGGGAATGGTAGGATGTAAATGCCCTGGATAGTTTGTCATATTTGTTTTCCAGGTCGCGGGCAGCCAATATACGCCCAAAACGCAAGAAACTAAGATTGCTGACCGTAGTCGGAAGGGGAACTGACAACGACTGTCAGCCTGCCATTACGGCGAAAAAGAAAATATTACTCGAGCCGCGATAAACCGATAAATCAACCTCACGCCATCACTGCCTGTGGGCAAGCAACAGCGAGAGTAAGCCCTCGCAAACAGGAGATACACGGTAGCACACAGACACACCGCCTCTGTCGTTCGGCTAAGCAAATCCATCTTCTACGGGGAAACAAAACAAAACAAAATCACTTATTATCTGCTGTTCTGCTACGGCCTGATTCCAACACACGGGGGAAATCGGGAAATAAGTTCCCGTGTCTCAAGACACATCTGTGTCAAACAACTGGCATGCCTGCAGCCGCCAGAGGCCCGCCAAAACAAAGGCGGCGAAAGATGCACACACGCGTATCCAAAGATGAGGCTCTCGAGCAAACCCTTCGTACTTCACAAGCTTTGCAGCCCTCTCAGAAGCGCGACAGACCAAACCGCGGGCGGTCCTCCACCGCAGGCGGTCCTCCTCCACTACCCCCCCCCTCC